GTCCTTCAAGTCACAGGTCAGGCCTCAGCTGCCAAGCAGGGAGAAAAGGAGATAGAAGTTTTAACTCCAATATAAACTAAACCGTCCACAGCTAAAAGTGCCAAAATGCTAAACAATCAGTATGGCAGGAACACTGATCAATCAGGACAGAGACAGCAGGGTTGCAGGAGTATCCCAGAGGCCCTGAGCTATGCCTGGCATTGCAGGTGATGGTTCATTGGATGGACAGTCCATTTGTCTCAGAGGAATAGCACTAGCTCCTTCCCCCAAAATTAGAAATATTTCAGTATTTTAACAATCCGTATACTGGTTAGTAACGGTGCATATCAACTGAAAATCAACCACTAGATGTGTCCCTAGGAGATAAGAAAGGCAGATTTGAAAAAAAAATCACAGTTGGAGGCAGTGCTAGAGAAAAATAATACAACCCAGAGATTGTTTACATCTGATCTGAGTCAAATGGCTGAGAAGCGATAGTGACTGCTAAATAAATGAGTTATACAGATATTACATAGATTTATATAGAGATATTCTTGCTATGTTTGATGCTTCCAAATAAACAACTGGAAACATTAAAAGTACAGTAAGTAAATGAAGGGACTCTGATGATGACATCTACCATTTTGGTTGATACAAATAGAAACCTATGGAGAAAATGTTAGCAGTCTTGGCAGCATTTTTTTTTTCATACAGACATTAGGAATGCCTTGATTCATTATTATTTATTTAACACATCACATTCTCATTATAATTTTGTTTCTACAAAAGGTGTGAAAGTTTATAGGTAAAACTTAGAATCTTAGCACTATAAAGGTTCAAAAAACATGGAATGGAGGAAAATATTAAAGTAGATCTGTAAGAAGTAAGTTTCAGTAAGGATGAAATAAGAATACACAAACTAATATTCCAGTGCCTGAGACAGAACTCTGTAAGATGGCACCACTGGGAAAGTTTAGAGTTGGATTCTACCACCTATTTACAACTATTTGACAAACGATATAATAATCTCAGAAGCTTCCTACGGAACTCTGTGCTTTCTGAACATCTTTTGGAGGTAAATGCAAAGTATATCATCCACCCAATGTCAAAGGTAACAGTTGGTAGGGAAGAAAAAGTTACTGTGTAATAGAATGGGCCTTTTTTATCACCTACTATGAAAAACAAAATTCATCATTACATAATGGCACTTTAGTTATTCAACTTCCTCAACTATCTCAAACGCAGCAGAGAACCAGGAGGAAGTTTTTTTAAAAAAAAAGCCTCTAAACAACAAAAATAAATGTCACAAAGGTCATGTACTAAAACTTACAGAGACCTGCAGGAAAGTCCCTTCAGTCCTCAGTTAAAGCCTAATAACCATCGGACACTATTCTAAATATTGCGATTATTTGTTTTTTAGGAAAATAGAGCTTTGAAGCTGCGACCTAAAAAGGACGGAACAGGGAAGAGTTGGGTACGGTTTTGTTAGATACAGGCACATTGGCAGTAGTAGGAAGAGAAGGCTGACACTGACAAAAAGAGACAGAAAATCCATAAACACAAGATAAAGGCAAAAAGACATTATTAGCAGACCTTTTGTTCTCAAAGTAAATTGTCTCACATGCCACAAAAGCACTTTAGGAAAAGAACATATAAAATAACTGATGTTCAAAAGATTAAGCCTCATTAATGTTGGCATATTCCAAATCTAAATTCAGTATGGTTAAAGAAAATGAGAAAAGTTAAGAAGTAGGTTTCAAGTCTATAAGTAAACCTCATCAATGATACAAGGTGGAAGAGGCAGTACTCTACCAACAACTTTGTGATTTGGCCATCTGTTTAGGCTATATGCAACAGACAAAGTAAGCTTTGTTTTGTTTTGTTTCTGAATGTGCATGACTCCTTCTGCTACAATGCAGAAGCACCATCCCAGAACTTAATCATTTTGTGGTAGGCATTCTCATCTAAAATAACTGGGCACAGATATTAGTATATTTTTCCCATGGTCACACAGGAGGTAAACGGGCCAGACACCCTCCAAGCAACTGTTACCTTTTCTCTTTCCTTAAGGTAAATCTGGAGATCCTTGTTTTATATGTGAGACTTCAGGGTTAGAAGTAAGGTTAAGAATGAAGTATAATACATGCAGGCAACTTATAATATTGGAGGATAAAGCCATTTTTACAATAAAGTGGCAAGAATTACAATGCAATAGTAGGTTAAAAAACAGGTGACTAATAATCCAGTAAGTGACACTGACCCCTCAGAACTAATTAAAATCATGCCTACATGTTCCAGTCTAAATTGATGCATTCAGTACTGGCTACAGCAACCAATTTCCATTTCTAACACCTATTGGGATACCAAGTTAATATTGAAACCAAGCAGGACTGAGGAATTGATTGAATAAACACCATTTGAGACTTTGACATATTCATAAAAAGAGAGTATCATTGGGAGGGAGTCCTGAAGGTGGGAATTAGCTCTTGTAGTCATAATACATCAATTTGGACATTTCACATTTAGCACTTAGAAGACCTCTCACAAAATGATGCAATGCCTGATTTGTGCCAATGGCATTCTCTGTGTGGTATCGTCAGGGAGGGTTTGTACGTACACAATTGGACAATTGTCAAAATTGAGACAGGAATAGGGTAATCAAAAAGCAATCATAATTCAACATGAGGACAAAAGATACCCATAGAAGGGAATGAAAAATTTGAAAGTCAAAAAGAAGAAGTAGTAGTACTAGTAGTAGTAGTGGTGGTGGTGCTGGTGGTGGTGGTGGTGGTAATAGCAGTTTCAGCATATGTGGTCACATTCCAGGGGGCTCTTCTTCAGCACCCACCTGTTATCCTCAACTCTGGCAACTTCGATGTATAAAAATCAAGCTGAGCATGTGCAGGAAAATAGCTCTATATTGCCCCCTAGTGCTGGCCAGTCCCACTGATCCTTAGGCTAAAAACTCCAAGATGGGTAGTTCCTCTACTTCTCCTTCCTTCCTGCTGCCAAGCCTAACATAGACCAACCCCCAAACACAGCCCAATCCTCTGCCCACAGATTAGGAAACAACCAGGCTATTTTTAGCATCATGCATCTTAGGAATGGAAATGGCCCAGCATCAGATGGCAACAAAATGTGTGGCCTGACTTAATGAACTCATCTCTCCTGAGGGTGTGAACCTACTTGGGTAAAGTGGCCAATGACCACATGCTTCATGAAAGCTCTGGGGCCCATTACAAAGTTATGATAGCATGGGGAACACAAGAGAGAACCATAAGGAACAAACAAGGAGAGACACAGGTTTGCAAAGGGAAACAGGGAGATGCCAAGACAGGCTTGACAAGACAAGGCAATAGGAAAAATGATATGGGACAGAAACAATAAAAAATAGAAGACAGGCACCAGGAATATTGCACATTGTTGTCATTATGGAGAAGTTTATAAGAAGCAATATTTTGAACTGGACATTTATTTTACATGGGAAAGAACAAAGGTTGTTCTGATCTGTTTCCTGCCCGGGTACAGCTGGTGGTGTGGCTCCTTTGATCACTTTCCCCCAGTCCCCTGCAACTCCTGTGATTAGAGATAGATCCCTAGGCTGCCCTTTGATCAGCAGCTCAAGGAGCCTGCAGGTGCCATGTGCCATCACATTAACAAGTTGTAAGAAGCAACCACACTGATATTGGCTGATAAATGTGATACAATGTCTTGCTGCACAAGCAATAAAGACAAACAACGTTTACAAAAGTACCAGGAATCCTTATTTTATCTATTTTTACTCTCTAGAACTTTCTGTGCTTTCTTAAAGATGAACACTTCATAGAGTTTAAATTCAAAGTTGAAGCTTTGAAACATCCCAATATGTAAAGAAAAAGTCACTGTGACTTCAAAACACAGCACACCAGATTCTGATTTTCTAGCCATGCTGCTTGTGTGCATATCGCCTGGGTAATGAAGTGACAGCATGCTTGCATTCTGAGTAGATGACACACAAAGCAGTAAAAACATGTACATTTCTCTTCAAATATGGTAAGAGTCGCCACTTGTAAACAGGGTGTTAAGAATTCCAATTTTAGACAGCCTACATTAACATTGTGGTTTCATGTGCAGTATAAAATTTCTATTTACAAAGTATTCTCAAAAATGACTTCATAATGGTAGATCAAGAGAAAAAGAGTTTTGAAATGGAATGATGTAAATCATATGGGTTCAGAGGCTAAGCAAATTACACACCCTGAAGCTGCCCTGGCTTTATGAAAGGAGCCTTTCTCCAGCTCTGTGCAATCCCAGCCCAAGGGAACTTGCATCTGAGAGTTTTCTAAACATTTCAGGTACACTTGAAAGCTAAAAGTAATTCTCATTTCCTATGCAGGATTAAGTCGTTTCCAGCACACACAAAATAGCAGTCATTCACCAACACATACAAAAACACACCACCAGAAAGGTAAGGACTTCAGAGTACAAAGGTACGTTAAAAAAAAAAAAATAGAGCGCAAGAGAAATACATTTTTAATTCCTCTAAAAGTGTCCACACGGCCTCTCGACCTCTATATTTCCTATATACTTATTGATTAATTGATGCCTTCCACCTAGAGTGCTCCAATTTATGCGGCTGACACATTTCCTGAACACCCCCTCCCCCCCAAAATCTGAGTAAAGTCAAACTTCCCAAGACTCATTCATTTTGGATTCGTTTTTTAGAGGCAGTTCTTGAACTTCTAACTCTGGCAATGAGCGATCCTACAATGTGCGTTTGAACTGACGTTCACAATCTCTCCCAGAATGTCCTCACTCTAGCAGAGGCTGCAGTGGCACGCACGTTGCCTGTTAGAGCTTTGTGGCAGCTCCCGAAGTTGCAAACTACCAACAGTCCATGCCAATGAACCGAGCGCGCATTTGCATGGAAAGAGAGACGATGATACCTTTGCACGCTGGTGAACATCACACACCAACGCACAATGCCAACGTTCACACACACGGCGAGAAACAAGAACGGGGAGAGTGAGGGAAAAACTCACCGTTCTGTTCCTTGTTGCTGGAGAACTGGAATTTACTACTCAGGTTGGACTCAGCCTGAGTCCCCTGTCTCTGGCCGGCCAGGGCAGATGTCAGCAGGAGAAGCCCGAAGAGGAGCATTTGGCTGACTGGGGCGAGAGCTCACTCACGGCGGGCACTTGGGAAGCAGCGACTCCGGAGTCTCTTTCACCACCGCCAGGGGAAGGCTGCACTGGGGTGGAAGCGCCGAGCCTGCTCTGGCAGCAGAGAATCGCAGGGTAGTTTCCACATAATCCCATCCAAAACTTTTTCCTAGAGCCCTCTTCTGTGTCTCCAGTTTTTGAAAAGGATCAAAGCAAAACCTGGACCTGAACCAGTTTCCCAAGGTTTAAACAAATCCTGAGCTGCGCCGAAGTGGTGGGGGTGGGGGTGAAGGCGAAAGAGGAAAGAGGGGGTGGGGACGCGGGGGAGCCGGGGGAGCTGCGAGAAGCCACCAGCAAGTTGCTGGGAGCACCTGTCAGTTCTGGGGACAGGACAGAGGCGAAAACTCAAGGGTCGCGCGAAGCCAGCCTCGAAGCCAAATCGGCGGCGAGCAGTTTGCGATCAATAACAAAGCTGCCAACAGATGCGGCTCTCCGGGCGCCCCTCTCCCCCGCCCCACCCCCACCCCCGAAGGGGGAGGGGGAAGAAACAAGGCGAGGGCGCCGCGGCTGCTCCCCTGGGCCGCTGCGCCGGAGCGGGGCCGGGGGGCTCCGGGCCGAGGCCGGCCCGGGCGCGGGCGGAGGGAGGCCGCGGGACTCCCGCTCCCCAGCCCGGCGCGCGGTCTGCGCCGGGTCCCGACCGCCGCAGCACGGCTCCCGGCACCTGGCTTGAGTTTTCTGCGACCAAAGTTCACCTTGTTCGGGCGCGTCCCCCGCTCCACGAAGCCGAGGGAAATTCGGCGGCTTGGGGTCACCACGGGGCTCCGGGCGGTCCCCGTCCCCTCCCCCACGACTCGGGCTCCGCGCTAACCTCGGGGCTCCGCGCCGCGTCTCCGCACGGGGTGGAGAGGGAAGGCCGGGGCAGCCGGAGGATCCGGCTTGTCCCCTCCCCTTCTCGACCTTCCCCCACCCCACCCCGCCAAGCCCGGCTGCAGTCGGGAGGTGGGGGCCGCGGGCCGAGCCGGGGCGGGCGGGCGGGAGGGGGAGGCCGAGCCGCTCTCCGGCGGGCAGCCGAGGGGGCGGGCGGGGGTCGGCGCCAACGGGACAGGCAGCCCCAGTCCGAGTCGCGCGGGCCGGGGCCGCCACTTGGCTGGCCGACAGGTGCTGGCACAGACGGGGGTGCTGCAAGGCTCGCTGCGGGCAGGACCCAGATGGCCCAGGCGAGGGACACCGCCGGCGCAGCCCCTGCTTTCCTGTGCACGGGACACCCCTCACGCCAGATGAAGAGCGCGGTGGGTGGTGAAGGGTGCTGCAAAAGCAAAAAGAAGTGGGAAAGAATTTCCTGCACCTCTCCTCCCCCTGCTCCCAGTAGCCTGACTCGTCATTAATTTCTGAGGAGATCCCCACTCCTTAAGGGCTTTGCCAGGACCCTTGGCCAGAGTTTCTGGACTGAAGGAAGAAGGCAAATGAACTCAAAGATTTCCCTCTAATTTACAGCTCTCTAAAGCAGAATGGATAAAGCAAAAGTAAAAACAAATGGCCAAAATAGTAACACCACTCATTCATTGAACAAACACTGTTTGTAGGGAATGCCTACTAAATCAGTCCATGTTCCGGGCTCTGGGGCTGTAGCAGTGAACACAGACAAAAGTCCCTGCCCTCGTGAAGCATACATACTAACTGGGCGGCACTAAGTTCATATCACGCTTTCTGGGGATGGTGTCTAGTGGCACTCAGAACGGTCCAGCGTTTGACATACCTTCTTAGACTTTACTAGAATACAGCCTCTAACAAAACTAGGCTGTCTGGAACCCTTGGTAATAGAATTGTTTGCCTTTACACCAAGAAGGTTGGGAAAGCACCAAAATATGTCTGTGGCACGTGCCCAGACCAACTTCAAGAGGTTTGTGCTATGAGACTTAACGTCCTTACGAGGTTATATAAAATGAAAAAACATGTCAACAGGGCCTGTGGTGGTTCCATGTGTGCTAAATGTGTCCATGACAGAACCAAGCGTGCTTTCCTTATGGAGGAGCAGAAAGTCATTGTGAAAGTGTAGACGGCACAAGCAGAGTCAGAAAGCTAAATTTAAAAATAAGGCTTTTTTGAGTAATAAAACGAATCAAAATGAAAAAAATAATAATATCAAACAAATGCCATGGCAGGCAAATCAGAAATACCACCCAACCTCTTGTTAAACAAGTCAATGCAAACAATTCAACCACCAAGGACACTTGAACTGGGATAGATAATCAAGATAACAATGTTCCTAAAACTAAGAAGTGGCATTTGGGCAGGGACGCAGTCCTAGTGGACCAAACTTTCCTGAGGTCGTGCTGAAAATGCCAAACCCGCATCTGATACTTGGACACCAACTTGGGCCAACCAACAAGATCTCCCTGCTTGGAATATCCTACTCCCCTTCTTTTTTCCCTTTTAAAATTCTGGTCTCAGCTCCTTTTTGAAAACTTTACCCACCTGACCCATTCATTTGCTCATTCTTCTTCCTTTACTACTTTTATCTTCAGAGTGCTGAACATACATTAAAGGCAAATAAGGTCCAGTCTTTGACTTTAAGGGATTTTCAGCTTAGTGGACACAAGCCTTGCTATTTTATTCATGTTAGCAGCTTCTCAACACCAGTGTAAATCCATATTTGTGTGACAAATATGTTCTAAAAGTGTATTGTAAATTTGGAGAGGAGTTTTGAATTTTAATGGCATAATAAAACATATAAAAGACATGCCATATGAATCCATTCTAATCTATGTGCAATAAAATTCACTACTCTCAAGTTTTTCTAATTTTGTAAGTTTTCTAATCAAGATTTTTCTAAGTGAGGCTATTATATGTTCATAGAGTTGAGTTTCCTGACCACCCACATAGGGTGTGTGTGTGTGTGTGTGTGTGTGTGTGTGTGTGTGTGTGTCTGCAAATTTAATCCATTTACTCTCAGGAGATTGTAAGGGTGATGACTACTCTTTATTTTGTATCATTTCATATTGACTAGAACAGGGGCTGGCACAGAGGGATAATAAATAAACACTCCTGACTGACTGACGAGTTTCTTTATTGGAGTCACTTACATTCTCCCTGGAATTTCAGCAGGAAGGTTGTATTTGAAAAGTTACAGATGATACTCTACCTCTGCATTTCACCTCATCCATATTCTATAGATTGATTTGACAATCGCCTTAGAAATAAAGCCAGCCAGGTGTTCCTGAATGACCCCTAGCCAAAATCACATCCACATTGGCTGATTTCCTTTCAATGTACTTACATTGTCATTTCTTGAACTGCTCTTGCCCTTAACATAGTTGATTCTTTTAACAGTTTATGCTCTGCCTATATTCCTGCTCTATTTTGCTTATAAACCTTTCCTAGAAAAGTGAAATCCTTGCACTGAAAGTAAATTTTATATAATCCAGAGATAATACAAGTACTAAACAATATATTTTAAAAGAATATGGCTTTGTTTTGGTCCAATGCATTTTCCTTAAGGAAAGGCATTTGTTCTACCAACCAGGAGAAAATAATTTCAAACATTCTTTGTGGTTTTTGTGTTTTCTTAAACCTTAAGAAGGAGTGCCCATTCCTGCTGAATGCATGAAGAGTGCTATCTACAAACTCCTGTTAAAGAACTTACTTGGTTGTTAACAATGATAATTTGGGGGATGAGGTGTCACTACTAAATTTTTTTAGGTGAAATAAGGTTTTAAAACAAACTACTCCTTTAGCTAGTCACTTAACAGAAACATGGGGACATATTTTTGTCTCAGAAAATCATATAATACAAGTTTTCTCACTCTGTCTTCTGTTGCGATGCTAAGACACACGTGTGCACACACGCACCGAGGCACACATACAAAGTTATTTTAAGACTTTTCTCAGAACGTTTCAGTATTTTAGTGGCAGATAATTGAGCTGGAGTTCAGAAAGCTTTGTTCTACCTAAAAGCCCATTGTGTTTCCAGAATGGCTAACAAGCAACAATTATATATACATATATAAAAGGCCAGGGCTGGGGATATCATTAGTAAGCAAAATAAATGCCTATAGATCATAGCAGGAATAAATACTACACTAGGAAAAAAAAAGAAAAAAATAAGCAAATGAAGTCAAGTGGTCTTAGAGTCATCCATTTCTCTCTCTGCTTTCTCCAACTATCCCATCTTGAGAAACATGACAAGTCATCTCTAGGTATCTAGGGTAGAGCAATACCCTGTTTCTCCAACCAGGAAATAATAAGACACACTTTTTCTTACATTTTATTCTTCTAGGATCAGGTACCCGGGTACCCTTTGGGTCCCAGGGTAACAGCTGCTAATCTGCTAAAAGATTACCTGCCGTGACAGATGCTAGGGAGTTTTGCTAAGGCCCTGCTCTCAAAGGAGAAGATATACTTTCAAATTCTGACTTTCTTGGGGAAGAGAGTTGGGAGATGAGGAGTTAGAGATGTATGGCCAGAGAAATGGGTGACAAGGACTGGTCTTTAGGCAACCCTCCGTGGCCTTTCCCATTGAAGTACAGCTGCTGTTTCCATTTTGAAATCACGGTTGAGTATACACAAATTTTTCCAAAATCTCAGAAGTGCTTGTCTGACTCAGAACTCAGAGGGAGTAACTGGTCAGAAACAGCCCTATAGGAAGAGGAGCCCTGGTAACCTTTGAACCACCACAACAAAAGATCATTTCACTGAGGAAATGAGGAGACCAAGGACTTAATCTAGTCTTACCACTAACAAACAGCACAACCTTGATCTAGAAATCTCCTCCGCCCTTCAGTTGCCTTTTCCTTACATGAGAAATTTGCACTGGATTCTGTTTTGATCCCCTTAGTGCTTTAGAATTCTTTGATTCTCTGGGCTATTATAGATAATGATGGCAAGATTTTTTCAACTTCAGTGTACTCTTGTGATAATAAATGACAAGAATAACAGTTTCCTAGCCTCAAATCAAAGGTGTTTTGGTAGCTGGCAGGAGAGATGCTGAACAGGTGCTTCTCCCTAACCTTGCCCAACCAAAGTAGTTCTATTTTATCTGTTATCATCATAGTTTGGAAAAACAAGTTCTACTGATAACCAAAATGAAAGGGGAAAAAGAAGTCTGGAAATCACTAGCTAGGACAAATATCAGGAATTTTATTCCATTCAAGAAAACTAAATAAACTTTGTGCAGGGATCCACATTTTAGTTTTTAATATTTGGTTGGTAGTATGGTAACAACCTCAAAAGAGGCAAAGTGGGTCCCAAGTGGAGTGTCAAGGTAAAGAGAAATAGCTATCATACATAACTATGTATGATGTATGAGTTGTAGATTATAAGGAAATAATATTGTTGTTAGCCAAGAACAGATGGCCAGTCTCATACTGTTCTATTGAGTCACACTGGTGGAATGTGAAACAATTTGTAGAGCAAGGGGCATCCCCTAAAAATGTGGACAGCAATGAAACACTATGTTTGGCCACATCCTAGAGTCAATAAGATGTCATTTTTCTCTCCCT